GGGCCAAGAAGGAGACGCACGAATTTGCCACATGCCGAGAGGGACACATCGCGGATGAGGAAGCCGCTGCGCAGGCGCGCCGAGACCAGGTGCGTCCATGGGGCAGCCAGCGAGTATGTGCGCAATGTGACCGTGTGTGAACGGAGGTCGTCGGCTTGGTTGACCAGCTCCGGCAGGGCGTCCACGCCGGGCAGCGGCATCACCGACAGGCCGGCCGGCAAGGGTGGCAACGACAGCGTCAGGGAGAAGTCCCGCACGAGACATGCCTGCTGCAGGGGGTTTGCCAGCGGATAGCGCTGGGCGAAGGCTGTGTCATTGCGGGCAACGAGTCAGCGACTGGGGCGGCGGACCAGAAGGCGGTGGTGCCTGTGCAAGACGCCGGAGAGGGGAGGGGGGGGGGAGGGCGGGGCGGGGGAGAGGGACATCGAGAGACTGTGTGTGTGTGTGTGTGTGTGTGAAGACGATTGCACGGACCGGCATGAACGAGTTCCATGTACCCCTCGCGCGGGATGCCACTGGAAGTGGGCTGGAGACGGGCAGGGTCAAGCGTCCAGGGTGAGTAGGTGACGGCGGAGGGACGCATGCGACGAGGGCACAAGACAGCCACATACCAATTCGATGCCCGGGGGCCGGTCCGCCAGCGAGGCAAACAACTTGGCCGTCAGGCGTGGCTGTGCTCCAGGAGCCGCATGACCGGAGTAAATGACATCGACTGCGCCGATGTGCGGCGGCATGGGCATCCGGAGAATGTCATCCGCCAGGAGGATATGCCCACCGGTGGCCTGTGCCAGGAAGCAGGCCGGCTCGAAGTTGGCCACACTACCGAAGGGCCGGGTCTGACGTGAAGGAGCGAGGGCATGGGCGATTGCATGAGCACATTGGAGAGGGGGCGAGAGGGGGCGAGAGGGGGCGAGAGGGGGCGAGAGGGGGAGAGAGGGGGCGAGAGGGGGTGAGGGAAGCAGAGAGAGAGACACAGAGAGACACAGAGAGACACAGAGAGAGACAGAGACACAGAGAGAGACAGAGACACAGAGAGAGACAGAGACACAGAGACACAGAGACACAGAGACACAGAGACACAGAGACACAGAGAGAGACAGGCAACATACCGAGCTGTCGGCTCCGGTCGGGGAGGCCGAAGACACGAGGATGGCCACGACCGTGGCGCCGGCGGCCGTGATACGCCGGCTGAGGGCGGCCAGATCCACGCGATCGGACCAGGGGCCCTCGGAGCCGTCGCTAATCAGGAGGATGGTGCGCCCGGCATCGCGGGGCAGGATGCGCAACGCCGCCAGGGCCAGATCGATGGCCGACACGAGGGGAATGTCGCCAGAGGCACCGGTGGCCGCCGACAGGAGGGATTCCCGCTGGAGCAGGGCCCGGCGGAGGATGCCCAGCGTGGAGAGGATGTCCTCCGTCGGGGTTTCGCTGCTGAGAGCGACTCCGTGCACGGCGGCCAGGGCCCCCATGATGACGGACAGCCGCACGGCCGGGTGGATGACCCGGCTGAGCCCGGGATCGGCGGCCGAATCCACGCGATACGGGACCGACAGCCAGGAGACCACGCGCTCGATGCTGCACATGCCAGGGCGCAGGGGGGGCGGGGGAGGGGGGGGGGGGGGGGGGGGGGGGGGTGGGGGGGGGGGGGGGGGGGGGGGGGGGGGGGGGGGGGGGACGTGTGCTCGGGGGGGGGGTTAGTGCCCGGGCACCGGGATGCCATGCATGGCCCGGGGAGGAGGGGGCGAGGCTTAGAGACGCGACAGCCAGGCCAGCAGGCGACGCACATGTCCAAGGACAGGTCCGACAGGGTGCGGAATCCGTCCACATACTTGCAGGTCATCATCATGGACCGCGAGAGGGACAAGCAGGCGACGATGCTGTGTCGCAGGGAATGCACATGGCAGCGGGTGTTCGGGCCGAGGCGCAGGCGGGCCGGCCGGGCGCCGGGCCGGCGGGCAATCGGCCGGTCGGCGCTCGGCGCGGCGCGCATCACCTCCAAGCCGCCCAACAGGCAGGCCCCCTCGGCTAGGGGCGCGCGCTGGGCCAGCAAGCTGGACAGCAGGGCTCGCGAGGAGTCCACCCGCGACATATGGCACGCCAGCGGCGAGGTGACCAGATCCAGCGAGTCGGCGAAGGCCGGGGGCGGTCGCGGGCCGGCCGGACGGCCACGCAGGCGTCCGGAGGCGCGACCCTGCCGCCGCGTCGCCGGTGGAGTGGCCGGCGGGGGCACCGGCATGGCCATCGGCACCGGCTCGTCCCCGGTGTCCGAGGAAAACCCGCCATCCGAATCGGACTCCAAGTCAAAGTAGAATCCCGACAGGGAGCTGCGCGTCTGGCTGGACAGGCGCTGGCCCGGGCCACCGGCCGGCGGGGGGGACGCATCCGGCAGGACGGTCAGCCGGGATCGCGGCGCGCCGAGCCCGGCCGGAGGGGCGTTCATCGCTGTGTCCGCCCTCTCCATGGGGGGCGGATGGCCTGCGAGGGAGGGAGAAGGAGGAGAGAGAGAGAGAGAGAGAGATGGATGGGGGGGGGGCAGATCTGGCCCGTAGGGCCGGCGCGAGGGGGAAGCCGTGGCGGGCCGTGCAGCGGGGAGGCTGGCGCAGGCGCGGGTCAAGGTGAGAGAGGGGGGAGATCGGCGCCCAGGAGGGGAGGAGAAGGATGCCCCCAAACCCCCGCGACCGGGGCCTCCCGGCGCGGCAACCCGCGCTGTTGAAGCCCCTCCCGATCGTGCTTGGACGAGCGCGCGCGCGCGCGCGCCTGCCGCCGCCCTGTGTCGCGCGTCGCGGTTGCCCGCGAGCCTGCTCGGCAGGCTGCGTGCCGAACTTCCCTCGGCTGTGTCTGGCCGTGTGGGGGGGGGGGGGGGCTTCCTCGGCCAGCAACCGGCGGGCGGGGCGGGGGGGGGGGGGGGGGGGGGGGCGGGGGGGGGGGGGGGGGGGTATGGGGGTGTGAGTGTTGGGGGGGGGGGGGGATCCTGGAGCGGCGGGGCAGGAAAAAACAGTGGGCACCTCTCGATCTAGTCCGACGGTCGCGTGATGTGTGCTCATCGAGGCGGCTGACTTTGGAGGTGATTTCGTGAGGGTGGTGATGTGGAAATGGTGTTTCGCGATTCCGAACGCACGGTCCCCAACCTGGGACCCCTGGGCCACAAACATCATTTGTCCCGCGTCGCCCCCCGCCCCTCCCCTCGACAGGGCCACTCTGGCCGCCAGGACGCGGGGGGGGGGGGGGGCGGGACAACGGGTATCGGTGGGCCCGCGCATGGGCGCCCGGGCGCGCGGGTTGGCGTGGTGCCCCGTCCGGGGGAATCCCCGCCGCCCCTGGAGAGCGGGGGCTGGCTTCTGTTTTATTTCAATTGTGTCGGCTCATCATCGGCAGGCGGGGCCCTCGTGGGGGCGGACTTTGGCTCGGGTGCGCCCTCGCCCGACCGGCAGCAACATAGAAGCCCATATTAATGTGGCCTTTCCAGAGGAATCCCCGCTGAACTGGGGGGAACGTGCGGCGGGTGCACCAAGGGTTCCCCCTCCTACTCTCCCTGTGCGCGTGTGTGTGTGTCTGTGACCAGGCCGGCCGGCGGGTCCGCCCGGCTCTCGCCAGTCATCATGGGTCCCCCGTTTGAAAGCCCCAGCCCACCTTGGTTCGCCTCAGGCCTTCTATCCGGGGCGGCGCGCGTGTGGACGGAAGCGGGGGGGGGGGGGGGTCTCGCGTCGGCGTGTCTTCAGGTGGGTGCGGCCCGCGCGGGCCGCATGCGCGTCCTCGCTGTCGCCACCGCCGTGCCCGCGTCGGGGCCTGTGTGCATGTGTGGCGGCAAAGGGGCCGCGGCAGGGGGCAGACCCCGCCCCGGGCCCCGGGAGCCCGGTCCAGCCGGTTGTCCTGCGTGCGGGCGGTTGGTTGGTAGTAGGCCAGGTCGAGGGCGAGGACGGCCCTCTCTCGCTCTTTTGTTCTCTCTCTCTCTCTCTCTCTCTCTCTCTCTCTTGTTCCCTGGTTGCAGGGGGGGGGGGCTGGGCCCCGCCCGGGCCTGCCCCGGCGCGGCCTCCTCGCCTCGGCAGCGTGCTCGGCTCTGGTGAGAACACATCCCCGCGGGCTGATGTGCCGGCAGGGCCAGACTCTCCCCGAGGGGGGACACCTTGGCGGTCGGCCGTGCATGCATGCGCGGCGGGGGGGAGGGGGGGCGGCATGTGTGTCTCCCCCCGCGCGCGCGCGCGGCCAAAGGGCGTGAAGACACGGTGGCAGTCGCGTCTAGCCTACTCGGACTTGGGCGCCTCGTGCCCGATACGAACCTCCGGCGTTTTCTCCAACGGGCGGCCGGGCGGGGGGAAACTAGCACATATAGATGCTTCTAGAGGGGCGCCCAACGTGGGCGCACATTGGTGCAGATGTTCGCGCGGCCACCGCCCGCCGAAGGTCTCTCTTCCCCCGCGGCTGACCGTGGCGCGCGCGCGCGCGCGCGCGCGCGCGGGGGAGCCGAACTGGGCACATGGGAGGGTCTAGCCCGGGGGGCGACTAGAGGAGGATAGCCGGGGTTCTTGCCGGCGGCGGGCCGGCTGGCCGGCCGGCCGGCAGGGGAGGCGGGGGGGCTTCCTTTCCTGCTCGCCCGGCGCGCGCGTCAACGTACGACGCGTGGGCGCCTTCCTCGTTCTCTGGGATTTGCCTCCCCCGCGTGGGCTCGGGCGCAGGCGGAGCCCATGCTGGTCAAGCGCGTGGGTGCATGTGCGCCGTGGCGTCCTCTGCCCCGGCCTTCCACGGCCAGGCCGGGGGGGGGGGGGGGGGGGGGGGGGAGCCCCCTGCCCTTTGGAGATGTGACCAGGCGGCGCAGGCGCGTGTCTGCCCTGTCCGGCCGGAGGCCCTGCCACCCTGGGGAGGGCGGACCGAGCGCGCGTGTTTACGGGCGGCCGTTTTTCAGCGCTAGCCTCTGCCCGGGGCCGTGAGCCCGGGTTGAACGCCCGGTTTGTCGTCCCCGCGCGTCTCCAGCCTGTGAGACGCCCGCGCGTCGGCGGGGGAGGTACCGCGCGGGATGACCACAGGCCCATGCTTTTTTGCGCAGGGCGCGTTGCCCCCCCCCCCCTCCCCCGCTCGCCCCCGGGCCCCCGAGGAAGGCCGGCACTCTGTGCGTGCGCGCTGATCGACCGACCTGCCTTTCGCGCGGGCGGCGGCAGGGTGAGATTCCCGCGTATGGGAGCCGGCAGCACTCGGGTCCCTGCCTGCCCTGACGCGGCCCACGGTCGCGAGGGGGGGGGGGGGTCGGGCTCGTCCGTGGCTATGCCTAACTGCGTGCGGCCGTGTGCGGCCGTG